ATTGAAATTATCTCCTCACTGAATCATGAACACATCATGCCTCTAATTGGTGTCTGCATTAAAGATAATGATCTAGTATCTGTCTATGATTTATCTTCTAAGGGAAGCTTGGAAGAAATTCTGCACGGTATGGCTTCAATGGGATCTGTGTTTTTTCTTTGCTTGGTAAAAGCTGTCATAAACTTACTGATGCAAGGTAACAAATTTTGCAGGTAAGAGCAAAGAAAAACATGCCTTGTCATGGGAAGTGAGATATAACGTGGCTGTTGGGATTGCTGAAGGCCTAAATTACCTACATAATGAGCATCCTCGACCTGTTATTCATAGAGATGTCAAGTCTTCAAATATTCTTCTTTCAGATGGGTTTGAACCAAAGGTAATTACTGAAAGAATGTTAGTTGAAAAGCAAATATGTCATCAAATCCATCACATGGCCTTTGTTTTTTCAATGTGACAGTTATCTGACTTTGGGCTAGCAATATGGGGACCAACTGATTCATCATTTCTGACTCAAGCTGATGTTGTTGGAACATTTGGGTATTTAGCTCCTGAATATTTCATGTATGGGAAACTTAGCGACAAGATTGATGTCTATGCTTTTGGTGTTGTTCTACTTGAACTTTTATCAGGAAAAAGGCCAATAGGCTTTGAGACTCCCAAGGGCCAGCAGAGCTTGGTCATGTGGGTAAGAGTCTTTTCTGAAACATAAGTTCTTCCGCTTGTTGTAACTGTGCATCAATTATCCTTTTAATACTTCAATTTCAGGCCAAGCCAATAATAGAGAATGGGGATGTGAAAGGCATATTGGATCCTAATTTGAATGGAAATATCAATCAGACTCAGATGAAGAGAATGGTTCTAGCAGCAACCCTCTGCATCACACGGTCAGCTAGACTGCGTCCTAAGATGAGCGAGGTAATAAAGTTTTTTGGCATCTTGCTAAAACGTTTAAGAACAGGGTGAAATTTCATTTACATTTTGCCCTCCTCTTTCCAGATACTGGAGCTCTTGAAAGGGCACGAAGGTGTTGAAAAATGGACAGAGATACGACATGACAACACAGAAAGCCAAGATCATAATGATGATGAAGTTTATCCAATTTCAAGTGCAGAGTTACATTTAAGCCTCGCAATGCTTGATATTGATGATGACTCGACATCTTTTAGTAGCATGGAGCAAAGCAGTAATCTTTCCATGGAGGAATATTTAAAAGAAAGATGGAGCCGATCATCAAGCTTCAATTAGATTCCCTTTTACTCTTTTGGGCATACTCAAGGTGTTTTACAACAAAGTTCCACAGACCCCATTTTCGATTATGTTTGTACCTGTACAGTCGAGAGAAAAAGAGAGAGAAGCAGCGCCCATTGTTGAGGTGTGATTTGCAGATGTAGATTCTTGCAAATAATGATATATATGATTGAACCTACTTAAATTTGTCAAAAGATTTTGTAGTGAAGCATGGACAAAATAGAAGAATGTTATGCAAAATGGAATAAAAGGGGCACTCCATAGACAGTAGTTGTTGAATGAAATCTGCTCTAAGAGATATAATGAATCTCGAAGAGAAAAGAAACAGAGATTGATTTAAGAACACAAAAGGGTCTTGAACCTCAAAATCTTTTAACTAGATAACAGCCTTGATATGTGCAAGATTTGGAAGACATGAATAACAAAAGTACTTCAAAACCATCTATCTGGTCATCACTAAGCTGAGGTACAATAAATACATAAACAAAATATGGCAAGAGATTGTACACAAGGAGCCGACAGCAACTATGTTCTAATTTGTAACTGGAAATATCAAATAATAAGTGAATCAAATTCAGAATGTCAGCACTTTTACATGTATTGATAAACGGTAAAACCAGGAGTACAAGAAAGATGGCTTCATCTTGCCAGATTCTTTACCATGCTACGGGTTACACAACCAGCAATTCTACTTCAGGTATATGTCTATTCTCAAACTGTTTATAGACCAAAAAGGGCAGCCGACAACCTAATAGATTAAAAAAAAATCTTAAACCAGTCATTTTCCTCATAGCAGATTTAGTATGGTACTGTATACGGCAAGGCATATATGTTAGCCTGGGGCAAGATTTGGGCACATGGGTACTGAGTGAAGTCTCCTTGATGTAAAACATCATAACTAGCATTAGATGTGTCACTTATGTCGCTCCTGGGTTGCTTCATCTCCAAGAGCCAGTATTGATCTCTAATGTCAAAATGCTCAGCCTGCAAGGAAAGTGGAAGCCACTTCGCGACTAACTCTCTGAATTGTGATTCTATCTGCAGCAAGCTAATTTCAGAGCAGCTGGATGTTGAGCCATTTCAGACTTCTCATCAGTAGCAGGCACACCACAATCAGATGAAAGTTGCTCTTTGACAGGTGTAGGATCCAATTCAAGCTTCTTTTGGACTCCAGAATCCAGTATTAAAAGGGTGTGGAGCAAATACTGACCATAGGGACATGAAGTAGAGTATCCATGATACAGGACATCATTGCTAGCATTGGATGTCTCGCAAATGTGGCCTCTGGGCGACTTCCTCTCAAAGAGCCCCTTTTGATCACCAACATCAAATTGCTCAATCTGCAGGGGACAGGGAAGCCAGTTTTCCACTAACTCTCTGAATTGTTCTGGCAGAGTCATTTTGGATTTCTCATCCATATAGATCCTAGCTGTCTGAAAGGAATGACAGAGCTCTCTTAGAGCTGGTGGAACAAACACTTGGACATCAGTAGCTGGCACACCAGAAGCTGAAGAAAACTGCTCGTCAACAGGTAATTCAAGCTTTTTCTGGACTACAGAATCCATCGTTATGTTAGAGCAGCCTGGTTTGCGGGATAGGGCTTCAGGAGTCTTGTGCTTTTGCTGCTGGATATCCATCTGAACAATGTTTCCTACAGTAAAAACAAGAAGCGAGAATATCAATGTCAAAAATTCAGAAGATAACTGAACAACTAGAAAATAAAGAACAAATATTCACTAACCATCATTATGGGATTCATTTCGGGATCTGCTCTTTCTTTTCTTATGAATGCTTTGGCTGTTGTCTGAAGACTCATAAAAGCTGTCAGATATAGGCTGCATAAGCTCTTCAGTGAGGCTGCTCGACTCCATCTCCTGGGTTCCATATTCAGTTTTACCTTGATTATCACTTCTTCCTCCACCTTCATTGCTCCTCAAACGCTTATGCCTTTCATGATGACCAGGTTTTTTCTGGCAAATCTCTCCTTGCTCCCTTTCTTTCCTCTTGTCTTTCTTGCTTCTCCTTTTCTCCTTCTTTTCCCTCTCAGCCTTCACCCTTTCTCTCTGAACATGTACGGCCAGAGAAAAATGTAACACACACTATGTAATAAAATTTCACAAAATGGGATGTAATTTTATAAAATTAATTTGTATAAACTTAAGATGAATCAATGTTTTACTTTGTGGAGACACATTCAATCACCGTCCAGTTCATCCTGAAAATCTTTGAACTAACAGTATTCCTCTTTATTCACCAAGCTGGCTAATGTCTTAAACCAGTCACATCCGCTCTAGCCTTGACAGATCAGTAGCATGATTGATACCAATTATTCATGTTAAGAAGAAATTCTTTAAAAGCCCCACAATGTAGAAGACAACCGACTTAAGTGCTATTGATGCAGAGGTGGTGGAACATGTAAGAAAGCCAGGGAAATGAATAGTAAAAGTCAATAATTAATCAAGTATTCTGAAGCAAATTAAACGCTAATAGCCATTTATTGTCTCAGTAGTTCATTAATTAACTTAATTTTTTTCCCTATGATTTCTTCCCTCAAAAGCATGAAGACCAAAAACCATATTCAGTCTATCAAACCCTTGTTGAGATTTCCACTGATTATTTGTTTTCTATTTTTGATCAATGTCGGTCTAATCCTCAAAACAGAGCGAAATCAAACTTCAGAATCATTAAATGAAGAAAAAGAGGTACTAATAAACGTAAATGCACTCTAGAATTAGAAACTTCTGATCAAGATCCAAAGGGAGCAGAAAAGCTTGCTCAAAACGAACCTTAATCAGCTCCAAAAGAGCCCCCCCACTCACTCCATTCCGCACGTACCCCGGCGGTGGAAACGGTAAGCACCGTGACATTCTCCGAACAAAAACCCAAACACCCAATAACAAGGTAAGTGATTTAAACGCAGAAAACAAAGTTTCGCCGGAAAAAAAAATCAAATCTATAGAACACAGAGATTGCTTCTAATAGCAGTTATCTGGGTGTCTTTCGTAGTTTATCTTGATCCTGGAGAGCTTTTGATTAATTGATATTTAAATCTTTCTTAGTTATTAGTAATTAAAATAGACTAAGAATAAAATAAACTCTAAAGAGCGAGAGTTTGAGTGTGGTAGGGATTAACAGAAAATTCTGGTGGATTTTGATATTAATACTTGAAGAGAACCGTGAAAGGGCAGCTTCCAAGAACCACTGAAGAGCCCTCGCCTGATACTTCCGTAGCTCGTGAATTTCCCGCATCTCAATTTTAACCATCTCACTGTTCTTTTTCCTTTTAGGATCAGTTTGGTTTTATTAAAATTTTTTTCAGAAAATGTTTACATGATTTATGCTTATTTGAAAGATAAATATTTACTTCAAATGTAAAATAGTTTATAAGTCAATGAAAAAAGAGTCATTAACCATGAAAAATATCTGAGGGACGAAAAACAATTTCCAGAGGAAAAAAAAACTCTTATACAAAGTTTAAGAATATTGATTTAATGAATATTAATGTTTAACTTAAAATATTAAAAATTTATTAATATTTAATTTAAAATATTAATATTTAAATTATTTAATATTACTTAAATTAAAATATATATATTTTAATGAAAAAATTCAATACAATTAAATTTTTTATTTATAAATAAAATAAATCTTACTATAATTATAGTAAAAAATATTTCAATGATACCTATTTGATGAATATATATATATATATATAATTATAGGTTCTGAATGTTTTATATAATTGATAAATATTATATTTTTATAATGAATACACATAAATATAAATTTTTAATGTCTTACGTAATTAATAAATATTAATATTTTTATAGTGAACGCACATAAATATAAATTTTGAATGTCTTACATAATTAATAATATTGATATTTTTATCATGGGGAAAAAGTGATAAAATAATTTTTTTTAAAATTAGACTTTAATTATGAAGTAACATTATATAAGAGTTCAGGATCATATGAAAAATTATACTAAACTAATCATTAAATAAAATACTCAAATATGAACATACTAAACTAGTATTTATAAACACCCGTTAATTACTTTAAACTATTTTTCATGCAAAGAAATATAATTTATTTAGGGAAAGCATTGGGTTCTATACAGAGCAAATGATGAAAGTTCTACTAGCAACAAAGGAGCAAAAATGGTCCACATCCACATGGATGCAAAAAACGTGAGGTAGCTAGCAAGATTTACTATCAAGTTGACAAGCCATGCATGCATCCAGCTTCCACTATTTCAATAAAGTCAACAACAATTGATAGCCTACACCTTAAAACTTATAACTTAGCAAATATGATTTAACAAGTTAAAAAAAGTCTAATCGTAATACTCAACACCCTACATCTGATGTGAATGTGATTGTTAAGAGTTATATGACAATCCAAGTCTACCACTACGAGCAATTTGAGCTTAAATTTTTAAAAGCCACGTAGTTTAGGTTTAAAAAGTTATTAGGTCAGTGATTAAATTTGGATAGTTACAAATGGTGTTAGAGCTTGCACCAGTCCGATATGAGCTTTTACATTGCTCTGGTGAGATTTTGATCTTATAGATGTAATGTGCGTCAGTCCGAACATTAAAGATTTGAATGATTGGGATTGTGATATCCAACATCCCACATCTTATGTGAATGTGATTGTTAAGACCTATATAACAATCCAAGTCTACTATGACTAACAATTTGAGCTTAAGCTTTTGAGGGTCACGTGGTTTAGGTCCAAAAAACTGTTGGGTCAGTGGTTAGATTTCGGTCCTTACACTAACCAAGGCAAAAAGCAAAAATCTATAAAACCTCATAAGATAACGGAATTGATAAACAAATTTATAAACCTAAATGAGATAGAAGAATTGGTAGAGAAGATCATACTGAGGAATAGAAGAATTCAAAAATGAAATACACAAATGTGGGAGAATTCCGGCCCACACATTTAGAGCAAAATTCCTAGAGAATTCAAGCCCACACATTTAGAGCAAAATTCTTTAAAGTCCAAACCCATACCTAGAAGCCTCCAAACTCAATCAACTCATATGTTAATCAACTAGAGCTCCACAGCACAAATAAGGATGTCAACGGATAGAGTACTCATTAATTTTAAGGTGTTCGAACTCAAACCCCAACCTAATTAGTAAATGAGATACCTAAACCTTACAATTACCTAAATATTTTTTAAATTTACTATTCTAACTTAAGCCCTGATACATACCTAGTACTCAATAATTATCCGATACCCATTTAAAAACCCGATTATATAAAAAAAATTATTAAAATGCTTTTAATGGATACCTAATAATCCAAACCTGAATCCAGATCCATATTTATACACAATAATATTTTCATCCATATTCTATATAATTTACGAATAATTAAATTTATAAAAGCATGCAAATAATAAAATTTAAATTTAAATAATAAAAAATAAATATCTCAAATATAATTTAAATAACTAAAAACAAATATCCAAACAACAACTTAAAGAACATTATAAGTTTAATTAACTATATATATTTGTTATTAATTGCATGAAATTAAAAAAATAGTTATGTTCCCAGACTATTCTAATCTTAAAACTTCTTTTTAAATATATATTTGATAAATTTATATAAATAAATGTATATATATTATAATTAATAATTCTATAAGTCATAATTTTTGTAACGTTAATATAAAATAGAAAGTAAATATGTTTATATATTTAAAATATATATACTAAAAGTATATATATAATAGTAATTATATTTTTTATAAATTAACACAATTTATAAAGTATATGTATTAAAAGATATTACAAGTTAATTAATAATTATAGTTTCATAAATTAATTTAATTAACAATATAGGCTTGTTCTTAATTACATAAAATTTAAAAAAAAAACGTAATTCGGTTCGAGCAGGGACGAAGTTAGTCAAATTTTGTTGAGAGAGCTAAACACAAAAAAATAAGGATTAAAAATTTTAAAAAACTAATATGTTAAATTCAATTAACATTAAAAATATTGACAATAGAAATATGAAACTAAATATAAAACTATAATTTGTAACAAATAAATAGTTAGAAACTATATATAAGATTAATAATTTCTTCTTATATAATCAAAATTATTTAAATACTATATTTTTAAGATAATTTTATTTCAACTAAATATAAAACGTGAAGTGTATAAAAATATATTCAAGTTAATTTCCTTTAGCATAATTAGGATTAATAAAAAAAATGATACATTGATGAAATTTTAAATAATAATGTAACAGTATAACTTATATTTGAAAACTATATAATAATTTATTAATTTTTAAAAATTAAAATAATAGAAAATAAAATCTACGTAACATAAAAAAGAATAGCATGGCAAGTAGAAAGTAAATACGACATATTACATAACAAAAAAGAAAGAAAAAGAATATGGTTAATTGTTTGTAGAAATTTGGAAAAGAAAATTTATAGAAATTATAACATATGAATGAATAGAATAGAAATGAAAAAAAATAAACAAATATAAATAATAATAATAATATAAATTAAAAAAATTAAAATTGAGTAAGATAAGTGAAATCATTTTATTATTTTTATTTATATTAATTATTAAATAAAAACTTATTTTGAAGGGGTAATTAATAAAATACATAAAAAATTTTAAAAATTTTTATATGTTATGAAAAAAATTTTAAAGTTTTGGGAGGCCATAAGGAGGCTCTGCCTGTGGGTTCAAGTATTAGGTATCGGGTACCCAAGGATAGTACTTAAATTCTACTCGAACTTGATATAAATAGTAAAATTACTACTAGAATCCAATTATAGAGTATCATAACTTTATATAATTGGATTTAGTATCCATAACCCTATATTTTATAACAAGATACCCATTGCTATCCCTAAATACAAAACTATCATTCCACGTTATATAAAGATAAGGTACTAACTTTCTTTTATATAACTATAGATACATAGTTAAATATTTTGAAAATTATTATTATTCATTTTACTCATTTTCATGTACATTCTTTATTTTGACATTTAATTAGTAAAAATCAAAAGACATTATTGCTTTGTAATCAATTTCTATTTATCATTTTAACATCAAAATAACTTAACTAGTGATAGAAGAAAATATTTTCCAGGATTTAAACGATAGAAAATATTTTTAACAGTTTACCCCCACAACAAAAAAAAATAAATTTTTCTATAAAATATTCTATATTGAATTTTTTTTTCCAATAAGTTATTTTTTTGTTACCAAATGAACCGTTAATTACTATATTTTGCCATATTCCTAATTCCATGGAAACATTTGAATGTCTTTGCAAAATAACGATTATTCTTAGGCTTATATTTGATGCATTGTTAGTATAATAGTATTTATATACTATCACTTAATTATAAAATGTCAGATCATCCATATGCAAAAATAAAAATTAAAAAATCGTTCAAAATAAATATTTTTAAAAAATTATAAATATTAATTTTTAAAATTTCTAACTTTTAAATTTACTTATTAAAAAAATATCAACGTTTTATTTCAATGAAACTCTATAAAATTTATATACTGATAATATATTAAATACAAACTCATTATTATATATTTCTCTAACCCACGATAAATTAAATGATACTGCAAAACGGTGTTAATGTATGATTTTAATCATGAACCATATTTTAAGCAAAATCAAGTTCTTATGCACACAAAAAGGTCAATTTGGATGGTATAAAAGCAAATTCTGTTGATGGCAACACAAATGCATGAGATTAGAGAAATACGACCGATCATTCACTTGTAAATAAAATCGAAATTATAATCTAAAATACAGCAGAAGAGGTAAGTTTGCTCCTAAGACAAACTTGCCAGCTAAGTGGATAGTTTGACTCAATTTAGTAATGTTTGATGGTATTTTTGCATCAGTAATTCAAACACGACCTTTTTATTTCATTTATTATTTTATATCAAGCAATAGATTAAGCATAATCTAGTCTTCTTTCTATTTGCATGGAAATAAATGCTGGTCTTAGTTGTTTCCCAACAAACTTATCTAAGAAGCTCAACTGGGCCAAGTGGCATGGGATTGATGTAATCTGTGAAAGCTATCTATTGTTTTTCTTTTTGGCCAAGCAAATGGAAAAGCTAAGATTTGAAAGTTTATACAATAATGAGATAATGTTTGAAAAAGTATTTAAATTATTTAAAATAAATAAAAACGCCATTAATCTTGCATTAAGTATAATTAAGTTTTTAAGTTTTTATTTTACGTGTTATATCATTATTTATATTTTAATATATTACATTAATAATACGTAATATTTTGATTAATAATAATAAATTAATTATTAATTATAAAAGTTTTTAATTTAAAATAAAATATAAAAATTTGATTAAAAGTGATTAAATTATTTTAATTTTTTTAAATAATTCAAAAAAAATTTTACAAGTATTATGTTTATTATAATTTTCTATCAAATGCCGTTACCAACAAAAATAAAAATAAATACTAACAGCAATAAATTTTAATTCTAACTTGTAATGTGGGTCCAATGACTTAATTTTCTTCCTCGATAGGGCCCAACCCGCCCTTTCATTTCCATAGTGACCCAAAAGCCACGAACTTTCCACAAACTTGATTTTGATTTTTCTTACCAAACAAAAATTGAACCAAAAAGCCCTTTTGAATCTTCGTGCTTTCACTCTGCTTCACTGTTCTCGAGTCCATAAACCTTCCAATTGGACTCATCCACGTCAGACCCATGATCTTCAACCATCATCCACTTGGCTACCGTCTTCACATCCAACGGCAAAGCGTTATTGGATACACCTTTTAGTTCGTGAAGAATAATACACCATAGCATCTCAAGAAGAGGAATGTAATTTTTTGTTAATTTACAGCTAAGCCCCTCAAGTACCTATAAATTGAAAAAAATGAGGCTTCCTTTGTCTCCGAATTCTGACTGTAGAGTAAAAGAAAGACAGAGGAATCTCTCTGCACAGCCCAAGCGGCCACTCATTCTCTTTCTTTGTTTCTGGTACGTCCATTTTGGGAATCTTCAAAATTCAATACAATTTACCATTTTCATTGACCCTATCAGCAATATCACTAGTAACTATAATTTTTCTTCCTTCTACACCTCTTCTCTGTCATTAGTCTTTAAGCCTTTTTTTTCCTTATTATTTTTAATAAAAAAGGGCGCCGCTTATTTTCTAGGGTTTCAATTTGTCGAATCTAGGATAACGATGCTCCTTCATCGATTCTTTGTGCTTTTGGTTTCCTGTTGAACCTTTATTGTATCGAATGGTTCTGCTCATCCGAGGTTATTCAACTTGCTGCGTGTTGTTTTCTTTTCGGAGTAAGACTCTTGTTGTCTTCTTTTTGTTGATTATAATTGTGTGATTCGATTTCAGTTGAAAATCTTTTTTTCTTAAATATCGTAATGGTTGCTTTGAATAAGTTCTGGAGTGTAAATGTATTGCTTTAATTAGGTGTTTTTAATAAAAGAAGGGAATGGTATTATTAGGATTGCTACATATTCCGACTTTTTCTTCTTGGTGTTGTTAAGATCTACCAAGACAGCTAATCGGGCAGGATTTGTAATCTGGGTCAGGTTCAAAATCGTAAATTTATCTCTCCTTCAGTGGAGTCTACTGTTTCCCTTTGATTCTCTTGGGGTTTGCTACTTGTAAATGGACGACGGGGAGCTTGATTTTTCGAACCAAGAAGTGTTTTCGGGCAACATGGCTGATATTCCAAGCAGTTGCTCCATGGACAGTTTTTTCGATGAATTACTCAACGATTCTCATGCTTGTACCCATACACACACTTGCAATCCACCCGGCCCCGATAACTCTCATACACACACCTGTTTCCATGTTCATACCAAAATTGTGCCTGCCCCAACTGAAGATACGGCTGCTATTGATGACACCGCGGAGTCTAGGGAGAAGAAATCAAAGAAACGTCCTTTGGGTAATCGGGAAGCTGTTAGGAAGTATCGGGAAAAGGTTAAGGCACGAGCAGCCTCGTTGGAGGATGAGGTTGTGAGATTGAGGGCACTGAACCAGCAGCTGTTGAAGAGATTGCAAGGTCAGGCCGCATTGGAAGCTGAGATTGCGAGGCTCAAGTGTTTGCTCGTGGATATTCGAGGAAGAATTGAAGGGGAGATTGGATCGTTTCCTTATCAGAAATCAACAACAAATGTTAACATGATGAATTTGCCTGGTGCTTATGTGATGAATCCCTGCAATGTGCAATGCAATGATCAAATGTATTGCCTTCACCCTGGGCCTGAAGTTAAAACAGGAGAAGCAGCAGAGCTGAATGGGCAAGGATTTAATGGGTGTGAGTTTGACAATCTTCCGTGTTTCGCAAATCAGAACTCAGGAGAAAAGGAGCTTTCTACATATGGGGTTGGAAGTGCAGGGTCCAATGGCAATTCTTCTGGCACAAAAAGGAGGAAAGGTAAAATTTAGGAATTCTTTCTCTTAATTTCTTCATTTATTTTATGATGGATATTAGAGAGTGAATTTCTGATATGATTTGTTTGAAAACTGTATTTTATCACCATCTGTAACTGGTATGTTGGTAGTAGTTTTTTGCTTCACTAGAAGGCTTGAAACTTCCAATCCAAGATTTTAATTTTTTAGAGAAAGTGTTTTGGTCAGTTTATGCTTCTTGTCTTCTGTCAGGACTTCCGAAGTGGTTTTCTTTTGTGTGTTTATGGAGAAAGTATTACAGTTTTTGACTTGCTGCAACTACAGAGTTCATTATTGTTCCAAGCATATCAACCATTCGGTAATTCTGGTTGATAACCACATTAACTATGTTCAGAATGATTATTAGAGGAATAACGGAAGACTTACATGTGAAATAAGGACCATGGGTAGTTGGATGCTATTTGAATATTTAGATGTTGTTAGATAACCACATAAATCGTTAAAATTTTTGAGGTGGCTTGGATTTTTTTGTTGGGAAAATTAGAGAGGATGGCTTTGATACTGATATTTATTTTCTTTGAAGGTGCTATGCAGCTACAGTAGGTTGAAGAACTTTTGAGGTCAGCATTATCCATATTCTGCGGGGTACATATTTGTCTTCCAACAAGCACTTTTCTTGGGCTGCATCGCCATCCCTCAGGTCGCATTGCTTCTTCTTTTCTTTTTTTTCATTTTCAGTTCGTTGTGTTTTCTATTTTTACCCTACTTATGGGTTTTTAGGGGTGGCGTGGCTTGGATTTGATGCTATTAGTGGTCTTCTTAGTTTGTGGTTTAAAGCCTACAAACTTGTAAAGCTGAAACTTATGGATTTGTAGCTTGTAGCATTTATGAGCGTCGGCAGACAGTCTGCTTTGTTATCAAGCTAAACTCAACTTAATAAAATGCCTTATCCCATCTTTGAACTGCTTACAACTATGTACAGATCCATCAGTAATTACTATCACTGATGCGATGCTTTGCTGATTTTCTTGAAAATTTATGTGCTTGTGTGGAGTAGTGTTTTTTCTTTTTACCTTTTGCCTCCTGGGTTGAGCTCTAGTTCTCTCTTTCTAAGCTATATGAGTTCTTTTTATTGCTGAATTACAGATTTTAGGGAAGGTGGAATATCTTTGATGTTTCAATACTGTGAGCCCTTTGTAGGTGAGTTACAAGTTTCACTCCCCGCAGTCGTAGCTTGTGATTCACTTGGGAAGCTACAAATTAGCTTGCATAGCTTTCAGCAATTCCTATTCCGGTTTTGCATGACATCAACTAGGCACATGAAGTTTGCTTTTGCCATAGCATTCTGTTTGGGAAGGTTGCGAGATGCCTACTCAAGCGGGAAGCTGTTGTTTAAACTGAGGTTTTGATCAATGGTCCTCTGATGGAAACTCATAGTGGTCAAAGATGGGGTCGTTAAAACATTACAATTTTTTTATGTAACTGATAATTGTCCCTGAGAGTAGCAGCTGCATTCTGGCTTGCTACAAGCCTACAATTGAAACAAAATGGAAAGAGAAATGTGCCTTTGAAATTTAGGAAAAAAAAAGTTGAATTTTGAGGTTGGCAAACAATCTTCAATTTCCTTTAGATATCTTGTTCATTGCAATTCTCATTTATTTCTTTAGATAGAAGGGCCTTTTCTTTACTCAATTTTTGGTACTTTTGTTGTAGAAGAAACTATATTGAAAATCATAGGAGCCATATGCACTTTTGGGAGATGGGGAGTATCAACGAAGTGAGGATTAGCAATGGGACATTTTACAAATGCCTTTCTCAGCAACAATTTCATAACCTTGAACAAGTTATATGCGGTAAAACCGTATTAGGGGCGGTGTAAGAGCTTGGTGTGATCCTGGAAGACGAATCAAACTATATTTTTTTGAAGGAAATGACTTGCAGGCAAAGGATTTCTGTCATTGGATCAGAAGAAATGCCTTAAAACGGTTAACCATTTTAGGTTGTTTCCCCCATTAATCTCATAGGCATACGATCGTTTAAAGCCTCTCCGCCTCTAGGCTTAGGTATCAAAATGGTTTTGATGTTTGGCTCGTGTATTTGAAAAAATAAGACTCAGCAAACTAACCACTTATTACTCGATGCTCTTGTTCTTTGAGTCACAAAGGATTAGCCCCCTACGCCAGGTTCGGTGTAACCAACTGTCCCCTCTAGCCCGTCCTCCATACCTTCCAGGCTTTAAAGCAGATTTAATTCAACAGTAAACCATCCTCAAATACACCAACAAGAGACAAAAGGTTAGGATATAAATCAAGACATGTTAAGGACTACTCAAGTTGTTCACACAGAAAACATGATTTTAATTCATAAGAAAAATCATCCTTAAACTTTAACCCGAATATCTATGGATAGTCCTCAGCAGTTTGGGTGTCATCATCGCGATATATACTCTCTGCCAATTGCCAGACCTGAAGAGTGTTATCCTCAGCTACACTTGAAATCACCCATGGCTCATTTTTGTTCCATGAGAAATCTGATATCTTGGCTTTATGCCCTCCATGAGAAAAAAGCAGCTCGGGAGGACCATCATCAGCATCTAGCTCTATTTCTAATTGCTCTTCCCCAATTCTGCGGATCAACAATACACCAGTAGTTGGGTCATGAAAAAGGACAAGAGAGATAAATAATTTCTGAACGAAACAATGTTAAAAGTGGTGAGTTGGATTAATCATCTTAGGCACAGCCCAGACATGAGAAATTCCATAAGAAGAAAACAGCAATATGATTTGTGCAATGGTCATTGCTGATATTGCTCCTAACTTCAGGAGGTTCAAATTGGAGGAAAAGATTTTATTGCTAATATTAGGTTGGTCAAATAAAACTTGAAACCAAAAAGAAAAGGGAAAGCATAGCATTTGATACCATGATAGGCAGAACAAATAATATTGAACACATTCCTAGTATCATCCAAATGTTAACTACCTGTTAAGGTCCCAAACCATCAATCTTCTATCATCACCAGAAGATGCCAGCACCGTCTCATGATTAGGATCCCATTCTACCTGGAAGACCTCTCCACTGAAAAAGACAAATCCAAGGTGAGAAGTCCTATTTCGATGATTTCATGCACCATTTTGGGCAGTAAATGGTTTGTAGAGTAACTGACACAAAATTGTTAACCTAACTAGAAAAACAAGGTTCAGGAAATGGAAAAGAATGAAAATTTAATAGTACGCAAATGCTTATGTACACCTTGAGCTTTGAGGCAGACAGAAAGTAGAATCCAAAATTCCTTAACAAAAGTTTATCAATTAACATTAAATATTTCTAATTACTTTCATTGCAAGAAGAGTCAAGTATTCCTTTATATAATGCTAAAATTACTTACTCATGGAACTCTGGGTAATTTTTAGGGCCAAAATGAAGTCAATGAACAGCATGGAGTTACGTGTAGCTAGAACCAGAGATCAATTAGGTTTACAATTAAATTACCACTTGTACTGAAAGATAGAGTCAACATCTAATTTGCTTTAGCTACTAAATACCCAGAACCAATCTGAGAGATGGCAGACTTACGTGTGACTGCTTAAAACATGCAAAGGTACATTCAGCTTCCGCATATCAAACAAACCAACAGTAGAGTCAGAAGATGCTGTAGCCAGAATCCACTCATTATAAGGATTGAAAGACAAATAATTGATCTGAGAGAAAAAATAATGTTTCCTATCAGATTACCAAAAGGACATGAAAATATATCAGGACAAAGAATCATAAAACCAAAAATGACTATAATAAGAAGCTTAATTCACCTCTCTCTCATGGGCTTTAACGCGATGTTGAGTTTGGTTGGTGCGCAAGTCCCAGATCATCAACTGACAATCATCACCTGAAGAACCAAATATATTCTCATTCTTCAAATGCCATGACACATCTTCAACCACACTTTCATGAGCCTACAAGGACATTCACAGATCTCATAATCAAATAACAAATCACTAAGGTTTAAAATCCTAGCAATTCCTAGAAGTCCAATAAATACCTCATAAACATGCATTGTATCAAGAACCTTCTCTTGAGGCCAAGCAGACAAGTCCCACAGGCATATCTTATGGTCTTGTGAACCACTCACAAGATAACCCTCCTTAAGTGGACTCCAAGATAATCCATACCCTTCCTTGTCATGACCCCTCAGCCTCAAATCAGGATCACATTCACCTCCCTTATCCTTCTCTGCCTGCTTGGTATAATCAAACACGAAAACCTCGCAGCCACTGGTCTTTGCACCAATAATAACCGGATTCTGTGGCATACACCTTGCCCTGTTCACTTCCCCATCAACAAGCATCCTCTGTGTTATCTCCACCTATCAACAACCACACAACTTCAGCTAGTGGTTCAACAGAATAACTCAATCAGTTTGACATCAAAAGCCAGACCAGTTTTATAGTTGTTAAATTCATCAAAAAAAAAAAAGCAAATGAAGGTAATATTTTCATCCGGTAACTATTTGAGCAATGTTCTAACTTATATCTTTCTTGACGAACAAATATTCTTAAAAAAAAAAATCCTTAATCTAGCATTTTTAAAAATCAGTAATTTCATCAAGCATTTTAGTACCCAAATCACAGTCCTCAAGTTCAAAATGGAAAACGAAAATACAAATACTAATAATGGGATCAATAATTTCTACGCTTCCATCCAGTAATTTCATCGAACGCTTGGTACCCACAAAACAAAGCGTGTCAAAAACTAAAAACTCAACAAACCTTAGGGAAAACCGGGTCATCATTTTTGGCGCCAAATTCGGATTCTGCGGCAAGGGTCGGGAGGACTGCGTCGGCAATCATGAGAAAGTCCGAGGCGCCACCGCTGGTGTGCGTCCCGAGGACGAGTTTGTGGACGGAAAAGGACGGGTCGGCTCCGTATGGGCTCGGCGAAGACGGGACCCAGTGGACAGTCAAAGAAGGCCACTCCAGAGGGTGAGAAATGACGAGATCGTATAGGAACGGGGTGTTCTTCTTCCATACGGTGAACTCTTCCTCTACCTGATCAGGGTTCATCTCCGAATCGTCTGCCATGGCCTCTCGCCTCGGGTGGATTGGATTGGATTCTTCGCAGCCTTTTCTAGCTTCCCGCCAAAATGAATGCATTGTATGGGAGCCAAGCAAGGGTTTTCGGTTTCTTTTATTTGCATATTTTTGGGAAATTAAAGGTCAGTTAAATATTTCTCAAAAACAAAAAAAAAATTAAATAAGGTTTTGGGCTGGGACTAGGCGCCTGAGGCCCACGAGAACATGACAGCCCTAAGACCCAGACTAGAGGCTTCAATGGGCTGAAATTCTGCCCGCCGTAGGCATGGGCTTTTTATTAATCAATGAACTGATTAACATTTTAAATAATTAATATATTCTTGTAAGAAATTTTAATGTTTTGAATTTTTTAATTAAATTTGAATAAGAATGCATTTTTTATTAGTATTAACATTTGAATTGAGTTTACATTAAAAAAAAGGTTGAATATTCTTGTTTAATTTATAATAATCCACTTTTGAAGTTTACATTTATCTAATGTATTAAGTGTTTTTTTACCATCATTGATTGGAATATAAATCTTTCTTCCATATAAAAAAAGTTGAGTATAGTTTAAAACTCTTCAAACCAACCAAAAAAAAAGTTAAAGTGAAATGATTCAAAATTAAAATGAGTTTTGGAGCTCTAAGATGTCTGATATAAATCTGGCCGTGGAGGTGCCGGTTGGCCGTCACCTCCTTTCACTACTCCTTCGATCATGGGAAAAATGTAGCGAGAGGAGAGATGCGCAGACGAGGCAAAGAGAGAATGAAAAAGGCAAAAAAAATGAATAGGTTTTATTATATAAAGGGCAATAATCTTCTAAAACAATTAATGATATTTTTGTTAGAAATTTTTTTAACCCATTTCATGACATATAGAATAATTATTATGGAGAATATAAAAAATAAATTTTCTAACTTCTCTTGAAATAATCATTCCGTGAACCGATTCAGAAATGTAAAGAGAAATGAAATACTCATTACCTCCAACCAATCATATCATAAATTCAAATGAGAAAGACATTAATATACCTCTTTAAAAGTTTAAGTTTAATATGACTTAGAAAAAAATCAATTAGGGCGTCCACGCGCTGGCATGACCTTATTGCAAGATATATTAATAATAACTTTTTAACCTTTTGTGGTTGTTTTGAAATGAATGAAACTATATAAAAAGAAGATATTTATTTAGGAGTATCTTTTCATGGCTTAATAAACAAATATCGTATTACAAAGTTATCTTTATGAATTTCAAATAGCATATTCAACTTACTCCAACAGAAGTACTCGCAATCCAAAGCAGAGATGGAAGCTATCGTAACTTGCCTGGTTGACCAATGCAGTGTATGTATTTGGTACAGGTGCCTACCCAGGAATCTTTGAAACTTGGGGATCTCGTCTGAACCGCAAAACAAACAGATTTTGAATCAAGGAAAATCGGTGCAGCCGTTACTTGAGACAACGAGTCCTGGATTACATCTGCCTGCAGTGCTGGCAGTTGCAAGTTTCACGGAAACACCCTTTCGCTGTTCTAGATTTGGTTGGGCGGTGGAAAAGATAAAACTATTCTCCATCCGTTTTACCAGACGGTTTCAATGCCCATTTTGATTGATCTTTGTCGTTTACTAGACAACACTTCAAATGTGGAACCGCTGCGTTGACTGTTATTGTTTTGTTATCTTTCGTTTTTTATCACAAATTTCTTCCACAAAATCATTTAGAAACCACAACTTTGTTGAATTTTATCCATTGATGGGAGTTGCGTTGAAACTTTGGACCAGGACATGTAAATTCAATGAATGTAAACTCAAATGGTCTGCTCTCTCTCTACAATCTTACCGGATGTTTAGCGGATGAGAAAAAAGCCTGGAAATCCTCCCCCTCCCTGCCCCTTCGGGCTTCATTCTGGTGGTAAAAGCTGTGGAGTGCGGACCCCTCCAAGCATTAAGGTCCATAACTTCTTTTTTTGATGATCCGAATGTTCCCACTTCACATCCTACTGAACATGAAAATGACTTGGGAACCATCATCACTTAAAACTGTCCTTGGGCAACAGTGTTCCCTTTCTTCCCATCCTCCTACCTTCCTACCCCGTCCAATGTCCAAAACAAGAGTATGATAGAACTCATCATTATTATTATTATTATTATTATTTCATTTCATTCACAAAAATTTTTTAAAATATTATACCAAAATTTATCCATTTAATACTCATTAACTAAACTTGATACAACAGACCAAATATTAATACACTGATAGAAAAGATCCAACAGCACGAATTTACAACCAAATCATCAAACTAACACAAATTTCGAACACACAAAATTAATTCACTAACACCATAAACATTTGATACCACTAACTTTGTTCTTTCTTCTTTTTAATCTGGAATAAAATCACATAATAGAACAAGCAGCAGGGTTCTCGTCGCTAAAAGCTGTGGTGTATCGCACTTCGGTGGAGCTAGCACGAGCCAGTTGCGACAACTGTGGGTCCTCGGTGTTGCGCACGTACCCAGCTGGGGCCTTCTTGTCGTACACCCCAGGAGCGTAAGGGTGGGCAACCACGTCGTAAGGCACGTAGGGCCACAGCTCGACCTTCTTCCCCGTCCGATGTGCCACGCGTGCGACAACCTTTGCTGGGTCAACGTATCCAACGACGGTTAGCTTGTTGGCCTTGCGTTCCACGTCCACTTGGGTCACGCCCTTCATTCCTTCCACTGATTTCTTCACTTTGCGTTCGCACCCTTCGCAGTCCATTTTCACCTTGATCTCCACCGTCTGTCAGCAGGTGAAAACAGTATTAGAATGCAGACAACAGGCCCCATGTCGGGGGCACTGACAAAAACAGCTAACCATAAAGGTATCTCCCCGGAAGGCAAATATTATCATCCTATAGGCTTGGCTAATATTTAAAGTGAATTTACCAAAATAACCTTCCACTGGTTTGGCAGCATTTTACACTAAATTTTCCACTTTTACTTTACATAATTGCCCCATTTTTCTTTATTTAGTAAGATTGAATTCTTGAATTCTATGTTTAGGGTAAAAGTAGTCTTACTAATACTAATAATTGAAAGAACAAAGATTCTCCAAAGAGGAAACGTATACTGATTGATTGGTAAGAAACAGAAACGATAATGTATGAAGCAGAATACAATCTGCAAAGCAATTTCTGACTTCTATTTTAACAGATAGAGTCAATAGGCATTAAAACAAACCAAGAAATTGACATCTATAATTTTCTTTCTCTTCAAGTCAAATTATATTTCTTCTCCTTACCACCCAAGTTAAACTTCAGATTTGTCTAGATTAACAAAGGAAAATCATCACACAGAGAAAATTGAACATGCTGATTAGCAGATCCGAACACTAAACCATATAAATCTAATGATCCAAGAACCAAAAAAGAAAACCCAATTTTCCATTTTTTTTAAAGAAAGATAATAGCTTCCTTAACTAGTTGATCTACTATCAAAGAAGCAGCTTTTGCAAAGATTAAGAGTTTTTCTACAAGTTTAAAGCCTTAAAACTGAATACCCAGAAATTAAAAGGATTTTGCTTTAAGAGATGTACCTGCAACTGCTTACGTTTCTTGAGCTTGGAACGGCTACGAGAACAGTCAAACAGATCAGAAACATGATCCAGAGCACCCATTTTTTGTTTATTTCTTTCTGTCTGTTCTTTCCTTCCCTGTGTTTTTCTCTCTTTTGATAATTAGAGTACCAAAAAGAAAAAGAAGAAGATGCTAAAAGTAACAGGAGAAGAATTTCTCAGTATATACAAGATAAGAATGCTGGAAACCAAAATATCCTTCCAGAAGGGATCCCTGGCCAAAGAGTGACAATGATAGTATGATAGACACACAAGCAAGCATCCCTTCACTTTATATAAGAGAAGTTTTTCACTTTGGTGTCTGTCTTCATAGAAATCTATGTCGTTGGATTCTTGTGTTTAGCCAGTTTTGCGCCACGTGTCTCGGTTGTACTCGATGGTAATTGTAGAGAATCGATGAGTTTTTGGACGAGGCTATCCATGCAAGTAACACCGACTCCTGACAGTATGTGTGTGTGTGTGTGTGTGTGTGTGTGTTGGGGGGTCCACTTTTTTCGTTGTTTGGCGAGGGATCGGAGGATGAATGCACGCGCTTAGGCCTGGCGCTGGCTGTGGTCCAACTGTGTACCTCTCAGCAGCCAGCCATAGTTAGTGTTGTTACGAATGATGATGGGGTTGGGAACCTTCGCTTTTATGTTGGGTCCCCATGACCATGAGTTGGATTCTGTAAGAATAAATGGTGGGTGGGTCCTTTTGAATTTTTGGTACAATGGCCCCCACGAGTTCGGCCTTTTTTATTTAGAGAATAATGTTTCAATCCAAGCCCATAAAATACAGGAAGAGCCCAATAGTTTAATTAGTACTATATCTAAATTTAGATCAGTTCACCAAGCAACACAGTAACCTTATGTTTCTTTCTTCTTGTCCGATTGGAAAGGAGATTCAAAAACAAAATCCCTTAAATATCACTGAATTAAATGTTCAGCTACATAAGAATGTTGTTTGAATGATATTCGTTTGCAATTTAGAACATAGTTGTTGTAGTTGTCTTCTACTTTATCCTTGTCAAATGGGAATGGCACAACAAGGAATACCCCTTTCATTCATTTCTTTATCCTCAATCAAATCAACTATAGGTCATTCACATAGTCATCTCAATATTTCACTCAATAATTTGTTTGATTGTAACATTTATTTGTTTTTTTTAACTTAATTTATCAAACTGAGATGTTAACCGCACCAGTTAAGGTGATATTAAAATAAAAAAATTAATCAATAATGTGTTATTTCCAATTGAATTTGTTAAAAAAAATGTATTCAATGCAAAAAAGCTTTTTTTAAATGATATTTTATCTATTTTTAACAAGTACTTATAGGTACACGTTAATCAAACCATTTATAAAAACATATGTTATAAAGATAAATAATTAAAAATAAAAAGTACAAAAAAATTTATTACAATGCTATAATTCTCTTTTTTTTTGAGAGAGAGAGAGAGAATTACAATGTTATAATTATTCAATAGTAAATTGGTAATAGTTTTATATATCAATGAAATCATACCTTTCATCAACCAGGAAATTAAAATCCAATCGTAATTCAATAATTCTTAATTGTTTTTATTAATGATCGAGTGTTTTACATTAAACAGTAAGCAAGGCAATATCATGTAGTGATTCTTGTTGAAAAGATTGGGGAAGGAGCTTGGGTCCTTTAGGAAGCAGCTTTGCATGCTTGAAACCAAAGAACCTAATTTCGAAAATATACCAAGTTCAATCTGAGCCCACTTGACCCAATTCCCAAGGGGCTGTTGGATGCAGAAATTTGCTAATAGCCCCGATAAATACGTCATCCCTCCATGGATTTGTAAGCAAAACATTGTAGGCATGGTTTCATCTATCATCGCCTTAACCATAGGGCGCAAGATGAGAGGATGTTATTGATATTGACTGCACAAGCTCTGCCATGAAATAGATTGGTCATGGCCTCATGGGCCTTATCATGTTTTAAGGTGAGTTCCTTTTCCTTGAATGGAGCAGTGGAATTCGTTGGGTCCCGTGAATGAATGTACATCAAAATTCAATGCCAAAAACTGAGATTGCGATAGGTGTTGGAGTAGGATTTGCAGGCCCCATTTCTGTGGAAATGTCTCAAGTTCAAGCCCACTTGAATACCCTCATGGCGAGCACCGCTCCTTTCTTTGATTGTTTAAACTTGCTTTTAAAATTCTTGAAGTTGCACTATCCATTTTTTTGGGCTACACATACTTGCCATTAGCCGTAAAACTTAGATGCAAGTTATGAAGTTATTGATATCTTTACACAGATTTTATCCAGCAGTACTGTGGTTCTTGGGGAAAGACATTCTAGTAGAGATGAATTATTTTGACAGAAAAAGAAACAAAACTGGCTCCCCAGGATTCACATTGGTCTCTACTTTCATTGAAGTTTGGTAGATTGACTGAACAAAGTGGTTCCTCGGATTAATTTTCACATCAGTAGACCATGGCCTGGGCATCCCAAAAGAAGAACAATAGATTAATTATTTTCTTCATCTTTCTAGAATAGAATAAACCCATCATTTCCAAGTCAAGATGTTGGAATTCGTTTCAAATTTTGACTGTTGATTCACATTGTAGACTGTTCTTTTTTTCCACCCAAAATTAAAAAGGAAAAAAGCCCACGTAACCAGCTAATTGGGAAGCACTTTCACCTGTGCTTCTTTTCTTGCTGTGACCACAAAGTCAATAATTAAACCAAGATTTAAGCCCCAAAGATTCAATATTACAACAATCCCGCTTGAGCTTGTTTTCTCTTAATAAGCTCTTCCTTTCAATATAAGGTTACAGAGAAAAGGCCAAAAAGGGTTAAGCTGAGTTAGTGCTTTTTGTTAATGGGAACTTACTTGGTTTACAGGACAATCCTTTTAAAAGTTAAAGAACAAAGCCACAGGCAGATATGGATATGCATGACTTTATTGTAAGTATATATATGATTTTCAAGTTTGGTTTTCAGACGTCAAAAAGAGAAACAAGACACACCCTCTATTTCTCAGGACTGGAAAAAGAAAAAGGGTCAGGGTCAATGCTGTGTTCGTGGCTAGTTATGGTGGGAGTGAGTTTCTTGGAAAATAGAACAAGTCAAATTTAGAACAAGAAGATCCCGTTGATTTTGCTTGCTTTAAAGAAACGTTACGAACCATACCGAGATTCAAACAAACAGGATATGGGTTATGGTTCAATGTTTCTACAGTGAGAGAGAGAGTGCCACTTCGAGTCATCCACGTACTGATTGGTGATAGCAGCAAAGAACAAAAAATATGCAGTCAAGGTTGCACGGGAAGCACTTAAAGCAAGTTTTCTTCCTTTTTTTTTTTTTTTTTTCTTGTTTACCTTTTGTGAGAGTTGCATTGTAAAAAACAGACCAGAATTAAAGAAAGGCATGGGACTCCACCAAAGGCACCACACTACACATGACTTGCGTGTGTCGGTCTCCAATGTAGAAATGTGAAATCCCCTGACATATTGCATGGGTCACATTAAGCAACTCTTTCTTTTTATTTATTTATTTTTCTTTTTTCTGCTATGACCATCCCAAGAGAGCAAACATGGAACAAAATGGGAAGAACCCTTTTATTTGTACTACTGGATACTATTTTAATTGCCCTCATGAGCTGTGCAATATGGGCCCAAGAACCTAAAGAACCAGAAAGAAAAGGATGAAGTTGATCACTACTTCGGATTTGCCAACTGCAATTTCCTTTTGCAGGAATGGAGGAATATATTTTATCCCAAATTGTTCAGCTTTTATAATCCTCTGTTTTACATAATAATCAAAACGGTTCTTCCAGCTTCTGATTTTAATTTAACATAAGTAATGATTACAAGTCATTGGCTTCTTTCATCATGCTTTCATGCTGATATATTCCCTGTAGATACCTGTTGGAATGGAGAAGCCTCGACAGACTATTTAATGTTTTCAAGGGTTTTTTCCTGTCCCATATACCTGCTTTCCTTTTCGTTTTGAACAAGTCATTGCCTTAATTGTACTTGGCATCGCCATTTATTGGCTTTTACTTGTGATATCAGATCTCCATATTTATACAACCAAGACTCGCAATGCAAGGCGCAAGTTCAGCTGCCATGGGTTGTTAAGTTTACAAGGAATAATGCTACTCAGTTCTCAATTGTCATAGCCCAGAAGAGAATCTTTAGTTAATTCAACTTTCAAAAAGAAATTAATTACTACCTCTTTTTCTCACCCTTAATTTACATCAATTCGGCAGCTTCAATGCCACTCTTGAAACTTGTATAGCATTGTACATCTCCAATGACATTTTCTGGTAGGGTTTTGATAAATTTGACTTGAGTGAGGCTAAAGAATGGTGGGGGAGTCAAATATTTAATCATAACCTTCCAATAATAATTTTTTATGCAAAGCATCCCTGGCTGCAGACTGCATATACAGTGGATCCAGTCTTGGCAATTATTATTTATCATCTAGACTTTGTAATGGATGATTGAGTGTATCTCTCCATATGCTTCCACTCCACCAATTCCATACGCTTCCACGTGTAACAATGGCTTGTTTTTTTTTTTGGTATTATATTAATGGTTAATTGTTCCAAGCATGTAATGTATGGCTGCTGCACAAACACACACAAATAAAGCAGGTTTGCTGTGGACACCAGACCATAGCACCTTCAATACTCAACACTTCCAGTCAAGATGCTGATCGACAATCAAACCTTCGCCTGCCCCCCACCATAATTTGTCTCTTGAGACTTGAAAGTTACTTACGGTTGTTGTATTTGAATGTTAATTTTCTTACCGCAATTTAACACCCCAATAATCCAATTTTTTCCATAGTCAAAAAGGCATGCAGATAACTTGAACCTTCATTCGGTGCTTCTGCCGTGTATTATTAAAATTTTTACAGTCATTCAGTTTTCATGCCTGGATCATGCTTGTGTCATTTGAACAATTCCAGCAGCTATGATTGTATTCAAAAACTTTTTTGTTTTCTTTTCCAAAATGTCATGAGAGAGGCATTGAGGTGTGGTCCTTTAAAGACCGTTTGCAGTGAAGGGTCTTGGCCATTGCAAGTCTGAAATTGTGGGCATAGAAAGTCTCACTCATCACAAAGATACGACTTTAAATATTATATTGGTGGGTCACATGCATGAGGATGGGACCTTACCCCTCAGCTAGGTGCAGCCTCAGTGGTCTAACAACAACTCCTCGAGTCACCGTCTCGTCTCTTTCAAAGTCTATACCCATTAATAAAGCAACTGATCAATTGGCAAAAGCTTTGATAGTCCCATTTTTCATCCATCAAAAAAAAAAAAAGAAAGAAAGAAAGAAAAAACTGGCATATCCCTTACTAAAGAAAGCTTATCTTGACCTAGGTATATGAATATGATCTTGAATTGTCAAGATCTTCGGTTCCCGTATGTTTTAGTAAGTTCAAAAATTTGGGTTTGGTCAGCAGTCGAATTTGTTTTGAAGAATTACGTTGAGAAATTGAGATGGTGTTTGAAATGGGCAAGGAAAGTGACAGATTTTAATCATTCACCAATTCATGTTTTTAGCTAATGATGGGAATGAATGGCCCTTAATTCAGGGTCCTTGTGTCAATGCATGCTTACTAAGCCACGTAGAAAACAAAAACAAAACATCCCAACTGCCGTATTGAAAAAATTCTGGCGCAATTGATGAACTTTGATATATATATATATATATATATATATATATATATATATTCTTCAGGTTTTAGACTAATCAATCATGTGTCAGGATTCCCTTCCTCGTTCTTTCTAAGCTATTTCGCTAACCAAATCGGTTTGTTTATGTAGTTTGAAAACGCTTGACATGCATCGTCGAAGTTTCACCTCCGCGTTAATGGATCACTACTGCAATCACCACTCTTTTTCCATTAGGTTGTTTGTCTATTTCTATATCTCCACCATTCATTAAGCAATCACCGTGTTTCCAACACCCAAAAAGGAAAAGGGTCAAATCATTATTATCATTTTGAAAACAACATGGAGAAACTGGAATGGCTGTGGCTCTTTTTCCATGCTCATAGTTTTGGCCATCGATCCATCATCATTCACATTTCACACACTATACTTTTGAAGTGGGGACGGGGCCTCTATTATGGGAAGTGAGGAGTGAAAACCCCAAGATTGGGTCGATTTCAGAATCACTTTGCCAAAAGCAAAAGAAAACAAACAGAAGTAAGTAGTTGGGAAGGTGCAGCAACACTTCGCACCAAATACGAGAATGGGCTTTGGATTTTTTCAATCATCCAAAAAACCCAAATAAATAACAAAATCCCAACTTTTTCTATCATTTCTTTTTTTTTTTAGTTACAGCTGGTCAATGAAGTGAAGTGGAGTGTGCTAGCCAGGGTCTTGGGTTGATCTTGGTGTTTTCACAATTTCACGTGGTCTGCACCGTGGATGCAGAAGGAGCCGGGCAGGGAAAGGATCATGAACATGTAGGGGGGAATAGGACTCATGGTGGGTCACGGTTGGTGGGCAGCACATGGGGCCACCCTTTCCCATATTGTGCCATGGCTAACTCTCACCATGTTTCCTCTCTGCTTCCTTCTCGAATGCGAACGGAAACAACGCTTTCAAAATAAAGATAGCCACCCTTTTTTCCCCGCATACGATACATATCATGTAAATATAACAGTATTTGAGAAAAATAAAAAGGTCTAGGGAACTGTGTTTCATTGTAACCAGGATTTTTCCATGGACTTTTTATCTCTGAATGTTGGACCTCAAGAATCTTGCTGACATTGGACAAATTTTCCGTGATTTAGGATCCATTGTAACTTAGCAATAGCCGGTTCAAATATGTGGGGTCTTTCCTAGTCCTGGAGGTGTTGATTATGCATTGGCAAGTTCGTGCATGTGGAGTACCAGAGAGACAGATCATCTTCCCAGATAAGAGTTCTGGATTCTCAATGCCTAGTGGGAATTCGATAAGAGGTCTGCATGAGATTAGACCATTTTATCTTTGTCAATACACTGATGAGTACAAGCCCCGACTAAACACAACAGATGATATTGATCACAACTTTCTTTTTCAAATAGAAAGTTCAATTTAGTTCGGTTAGACTATTGAGTTACACTGAAATTATATCTATGATCTTTTGATCGATTAGACTCACAGTCCAAACCCAAACCCAAATATATTTTGGATTCTCCAAAAAGTAGTTTACTTTAATTTCTAACAATTATTAATTGGATTCTTCCCATGAAAGTAATGAGCATCCAGCTGAGAAGGTACATGAACTCATACTGGCTAGGAAAAAAGAGTTTCACATATAGCAAATAATTGAAGTGTACAAAGGTGTTACGTACAGTATGGAAAAGGGAAAATTTTGGATTATTCCAATTGGGACTCAATTATGAGAGACACAAAGACATCATTATCTTTAACCTTGGGTGTGACACATGGGGGCAGAATTTAAATATAGAAGTCTTGGTTTTTGGCTTGGAAAAAACCAATGTCAGATAAGACACCCATGGGTGGAAGGGCTGTTGTTTTTGGAGTGCCCAGTGACTCTATCTCCATGGCTTATTGTGGATTTCGGGGCAACCTCCCACCGGCTTTGAATTTCTCCCAAATCTGCCTCATTTTTCTCAAAGGAAATTCATCCTTCAGCTTTTCGCTGTACCAGCCAAGTTTGATAAGACTTTCGGTTACTTCCAAATTAATAACATTAGTAACTTTCTGTCTTTAAAGCTTGGCTGCTCTTTAAACAACAATAACGTGCTCAAGTTCAAAATGCATTCATGTGAATTTTAAATTCCAGCCAGCAAGAAACTGATGAAAAGGTTTAGATAATATAGGAAAAAGGTTACTCCAGTTAAGATCAGTTCGAATTTATAAACATGCGCAACAGGTTTTTTTTTTTTTTTTTTCTTTCAAGGATTTCAAATTTAAATAGCGATAATGAATTTACGTAATTCGTAGGTATAGTTTGATAATTTAATAAATACGTTAATAGTATGGTTTCATTGAGATAAGTTTTCATCATTATTAAATAGTCTTAAACTTATTCTTTAATTAAAAAAGGAACATTGGAAGAAAATTCAAACTTTGAAGATATGCTTTTGCTGTAAGCCCTACAAATGTGCTTTTCAATTGTTTCAAGAAATCTTGTACAATTTCTATGAGTTTATCCTTAAGCAAACTGGTGCAGATTATCAAGCAAAATTATATGCCAGATTACAATACAAATTCCAAATCTAACTTGTGGCATGGGATTGCAGGCAGACAAGGAAAGAAAATCCAAACCAAACCAGCCAAATAATTACTCAGCTATTTTGGCAATTTAATAAATCACCCTGTGATTTTCCACTGAATTACAGATAGTCTTTCCATTTTTTGTGAGTGTTAAATTGCTCAACTCTGACTTGGCAAATTTAAGAGGTTAACCACACATATACCATATTAGAGTGCTTAATTAAGGCATTCCATATCAATGGACAAAAAATTAATTAAAAGAATTAATAAATTTATGTTCCCAAAAATAAGATAAAATACTAGAAATTTGTATTCCCAAAAAATTAAAAGAAATGTAGAAATCCGAGAAAGAAACAAGAGCAAAATTATTATAAGAATCCTATTCTTCAGGCTTTCCAAATGACTAAACTGACACATCTCTGATTCTTTCTCTCTCTCTCTCTCTCCCAAAAATAAAAACTGACCAATTCAGAGTCTCTCTCTTTCTCCAAAGTCTTTACCCAATAAATGAGTGAATCCACTTTGGAGTTGAATTTTCTTTTTATTCCAAAGGGAAAACAAACGCCTCTGAAATCTCTGACCCGATAGTTTAGTCACAAAATCTGCATGTATACGTTGTTGCTTACCCCGTCGGCTGGTCCTATACATCTCTCTCTCCCCCTCTCTTTAATGCTTTGGACGATTGTGTTTATATTATTATTATTAGAGAAAACAAAAAGCAGAAAATAGTATCCTAGGCTCTCTCTCTCTCTCTCTCATCTTTCCTTTTCAAGTTTTTTCAGTTACTTAATTCACACCTTCACCCTCTCTCTCCCTCTCTCTTATAAATATACACCACCACCTCCGCCTCCCTTTTGTTTTCTATATGTTCCTTGAATAGCAAACAAGAAGGGGTGGTCGAGAGTTCTTTAGGCTTTCTATGATCCAAAGGAGAAAAACCCATTTTAGTTTTTGATCTGATCTTGTGGGAAAGGAAGAGATTTGAAGGAAAAGGGTGTTGCTTTCTTTCTTCTTTTTCTTTTGGTTCTTTTGAGGGTTGTTGGCTGCTTTGAAAGAAAAAAACAAGAAAAGAA